GAGGAGCATGGCGACCTCCCCTTTGACGAAGTCCCGCCTGTCGGTGGATAAGTAGCGTCGCTTCTGCTTGACGGGCACGGAGGCTGGATCGACGGTCAGCCGGTGAGTGATCACCTGGCGGCTGATGCCTGGCATGTCGTCCAGGCCCCACGCGAAGATAACGGCGTATGACCGTAGGACGACGAGAATGGCGTCCCGCTGGTCCTGTGGGAGTTGTTTCCCAATTCTGAGGACCCGCTCCGGCCGGGAGGTATCCAGAGGGACTTCCTCGACCTCCTCAGCCGGTTCGGCGTGCGGCCTCTCCTCGTCCTTGGCAACGGCTGCCGTGATGGTGTCTATCCTCTGCCCTTCGCTTTCGGCCGGCCTCGTTAGCTTGAGGTAGCATGCTCTAGCTATCCTCTGGTTTCCTCTGGCGCAGCCGATGCCGTCATTGGTGGGGAACTTCAGACACAAGTGCTTCATGGAAATGATGGCCTCCAAGTCCTCCAGTGCTGGCCGCCCTAAGATCAGGTTGTGGGCGCACTGGAGGTTGACCACCATGAACTCCATGTCAATTTTGGCGCGGTGGGGGCCGTCACCGACCTCCACGGGGAGGACTATCGTGCCCTCGGCGTCGATAGAGTCCCCGGTGAAGCCGGATAACGGTGTCTTGATCGGCTTCAGCAGAGCTTTGTCCAGCTTCAGCTGCCTGAAGGTGTCCAGGTACATCACGTTGACGGAGCTCCCTGTATCGATGTAAGTGCGGTGGATGATGGTGTCACCGATCTCACACCGGATGACGAGGGCATCCCTGTGTGATTTCGTACCCGGAGGCAGATCCTTGTCGGTGAAGGTGATCGCCTCCGTTCGCTGCTTCTTCGGCTGGGGGGGGGGGGGGAACGTGGGACACCTCCCCTATGTAGAGGGATTGGGCCCATTTCTTCCTCTGGGTGACGGAGTCCCCCCAGTGTTCCCACCTACAATGAGGTGAATGTGGTTCTTCTTTGGCGGGGACTCTTCGAAGTCCTCGTCGTCGCTGAGCCTGCCGATCTCCCGCTTCTTCGTAGAGGGTTCGCCCCCCGGTTTGCCGGTGTTTACCCATGTATTTTTGCGTGGGCCACCTTTAACAAACTGGGAGAGTTCCCCCTGACGAATAAGGCGCTCGATGGCTTTCTTCAGCGTGATGCAGTCATCGGTGTTGTGCGAGGAGTTCTTGTGAAACCGGCAGTATGTGCCTCCCTGCTGGATGGCAAGGAACTCCTCGGCCGGCCGAGGAGCCTGCTCGATGAGGCCATGCTTCTCGACGTAGTCGAGGATGGTACTGACCGGGTGGGTGAGGGGGACCCCCGGCCGTTCAAACCTCGGCCGCCGGTGACGGTCTTTCTTACTTTGTCCACCAGAGCCGTGACGGCCCTGGGCACCCTGGCCGGCCGGGGATGGTCCCGGGGCCGGCGAAGGATTTGTCTTCTTGGGAGGATGGCCTCCCTCTCTCTTGTGGTTGTGGAGCTCGTCGGCGTCGGCGTCGGCGTACAAGCTCCCGCGCTGGAGCGCCTTTGCGTACGACCTTAGAGGATCGGTGATGAGGCTCGTGGCGTACGGGGAGCTGTGGAGGGCTCCCTGGTACAGGACGAGGAGGGTGCGCTCATCGGCCCCCTCAACTTCCTCGGTCTCCCTCGTCCACCGATCAATGAACGACCGGAGGGACTCATCATGTTGCTGCTTGACGGAGAGGAGATGGGTGAAATACTTCTTCGCGTGCTTCCTCCCGGCAAAGTGGGTGAGGAAGCGTTGGGCAAGGTCCTGCCACGAGTCAATACTCCCTTCGGGGAGCGCGTTGAACCACTCGTACGCTGGCCCTTTGAGAGTAGAGAGGAACCAACGGCAGAGATATTCATCCGACGCGTTCACCATCAGCATGTTGTTCTGATAGCGGCTAAAGTGTTCCTGGGGGTCTGATCGGCCATCGTAGGACTTGATGGCATTCCCCCTATACTTCTCCGGGATGGGGGCCGAGAGCACCCTGTTGGTGAAAGGGGTTCGGGTCCTGACCTGGATGATGGGGTCACCTCGTCCTTTCCAGCTAAGCGATGACCTCGTCCCGGGGGTCCCTGGCGGCCGCAGCGGCGCCCTGCTGGTTCTTCATGCGTTCGTCGTGGGCCGCATTGATCTGGTGGCGCACGTCATCTTCATGCAATTTTCCCTTGCCTTTGTCCGGGCGGGGCTGGTCCGCTGTCCGGGACAGAGACCCCAAGCTTTCCATAGGCGACCCAGGCCGACGTTCACCAATCCGCCCTGCCATCCTCTCTGAGACCGGACGACGGCGCGTGTCACCTAGCCTATTGAAGGCATAGGCTTTTCCATGCGCTGGGGTCTGCACAGACCGAAGAGGGGAAGCGGGGTGGGAGTGGGAGGACGCCGAGTCCTGGGCCATCACCCCCTCATCGTTGCCTATCTGGACGGCCAACGGTTGGGGCTGAGGAGGTGGAGTGACGTTCCCCCCAGTCCTTGGCAAGAGTGCGCTGAGGACGGTGGGGTTCTGGGCCAAGCTGGCGATGATGACCGACAGCGCGGCCTGGACCTGCGGATCCACAGACGGAGAAGTCGCGGCCATAGGCTGGGCCGGGGCGTGGTCTGCCTTTTCAGCTCGTTTCTTGTCCAAGCCGATGCGGGCATCAGGGGCTCCGCCGTTGAGTTGGTTGCGGAGGTCCGTCGTGAGGTTGATGGCCTCCTGGAAGACATCCCCTCCGCTGACCTGGTCGGCCGTAGCATCCTCCTCGTGCTCCCTGGTCTCCTGGTCCTCAGGGATGGCCTTGCTGACGAGGTTGCGGTTTGACTTGGTTCTTCCCATGATCAGTGGTTAGCTGTGCTTGGTAGCGACGAAGGGTGCTAACTTGATTGTTCTAGCTCTCAACGAGAGCACCAAATGATAGAGTATATATCTAGAGAGAAGTGAGAGCTAGAGAGAGAAGTGCAATATATACTTCAATAGAATGATTTTGTCACCCCCATAACTACCTCTAGAGGAAGTATTTATAGGAAAAATACGGGCTGGGCTCCCAAGCCTTGGGCTTGGGAGGCCCATTTACAACTGGACCGCTATTGGGTCGAATACAAAGCCACTAATGGGCTATACAAACAAGTAAGTGTAAAATCCGGTTCTGTGAGTCTCCCGTGGTCGACGTGGGTCTTGGCCGACGAGGGCACGGCCGACGCGGGCACGGCCGACGAGGACACCATGGTTCCTTGGCCTCAGGATCATATTCTGGGTTGGCCCCTCTTCGGCCGACGAGGGTCTTCTGGCCGACGAGGGCACCGCGTAGTGGCTGTGCTTTCTGTTCTGAGTATGTGAGTCCTGGGGCCTAGACCCATATACTCCATCAATCTTTAATAACTAAAATTTACATATTCAAAACATACACTAAAATTTTTTAAAGTTTCAAACTCCAAATTAGAATATAATCAAAAAATGACATTCTAATTATGTGAATAAAATGAAATCGTTTGACCAAAGAAAAGTTGATTTTGAAAACCGGACAGAGGTAGTATCTTACGGAGTACTATTTAGTGTAAAAAATAGAACTATTGCACAAACAAGACCAATAAACGTAATTAGTCATAAAAAAGAAAATTAAACTCATTTTTAGTTTTTCATCTTGTGTAACCTGTATTCATTTTTTTTGAAAGGGTGTAATATGTATTCATCCTTGAGTAAAACTTGTTGACTGAGTAAAACTTCCAAATAATCAGTGTTATGAAACCTGAATCCATTAGGGCGGGTCAGGGCGGAAATCGGGCTACATATATACGGTAACTTGAAAATCAATTGAAATCCGTTCACAACTTCAAACCCGTTGACTCGCTTTTACAGTACATTTTAAAATCCCGCTAAGCCACTACCCCCGCTGCTCAATACTCTATCATCATTAACATAAAATTGATGTTTTCTATCGTGACTTGAATCAAATGTAAAGTTAGATGTTTTTAGACTCAAATCAGTACAAATAAGTACATTTTTACATATAAATCTTATTTCGTTTTTAAGTTAATCTTAAAAGAACGGACTTATGGGTCCGACCTATGGGCCGTTGCCATCCGAGCCGAGTGAATCCTTGAAAAGTCGAGTCTTTGGTACCTGGGATATCTTGCTTATAACTCATTTGATTGGTCGAAGATATTACATAACTTATATTTTAATTGTTTAACTGTTATATTTTGGATAAGGCGTTTATATATATGGATAAGGCATAGAATTTGCCCACAGCGAATAGCTACTACTAGACTTAAGTCTGCAAATAAAGAAGAGTATAAAATTGAAGAGATATTACCCGCGACTAAAACAGTTTGAAAATTCCAAAATAAGATTATCATGTTTTTATTTCCAAAATAGGACTAATTATTGTCATATTTTGGCAGTATCAGTATCAGACTTCAAACATGGCAATATTTTCTAGGGAAAATGGAAACTAATAATCCAACCTTTTGGCGGTCTTCTTACAATAGTCTCACCTTTTGATTATTCATGAATAATTCAACCTTTGCACCACATCTTCATTCACCGGTCCCTGACCGATTTATGACATGTTATTCCAAGTTATTGTTTTATGTTTGCAAAACATTATGTGATCATAAGGTGGGAATTATGGTATAATGTTTTAAAAGATAAGGAAATAACTTGGAATAACAGGTCATAAATCGGTCAGGGACCAGTGAATAAAGATGGGGTGAAAAGGTTGAATAATCAAAACGTTGGACTATTGTAAGAAGACCGTTAAGAGGTTGGATTATTAATTAGTAATTAGCCCTATTTTGGGAATAAAAAATATTACAGTTCTATTTTGGAATTTTCGAAAATTGAAATATGTAAAAATGGCATCAAACTTCTTTTGGACTTGACAAATATCAGGATTTCATTGCCTTCTCTTGTCACAATCCGGTGCGAAAGAAAGAAAAAACATGAAGAAATTCATGAATAGCAAGAGCAGTACTTATGAAATCAACAGTCCATATCATGACTAAATATACATAAACAGAAGCGCAATTTTACTCTTTTTTATGGAAGCCAAGAGCAGCTACTAGCTAGTCAGCAGTTACATACAAAAATTTGATTTTGTTGCTCTTACTAATTACAAGGCGCTTCTAAATTAAAAGTCTAAACTTTTTACTTTTGTAGTTCACTTTTTACTTGCATATATACATGCATTCCCATAGTAACATTTGGCAGAAAATGTTGCATATATATATGTACCTTGATTAATCGCGCGCATTTAGATTATTTTTCTAATATAAACTTTTGACTTCGACTCTATTGCATGTTTTTACAGGCCGCCGCCCGCCGCCGTGACAGGTGGGTTATATTATTCCGGCGACGTAGTCTGGGTGGTGTGGAACCTCCATTCGAACAGGTAGTCTCTGGACTTGCAGCCCAACTTAACCGCATCACAAAAAGCCCTCACCGAGTTCTTCTTCTTCTCATCATCGTTGCTTCTCCACTCTATCCTCACCCAGCACGTGAATCTCTCCGACGACATTGGCACATCACATGCATCCAACAGGTGAAGCACCACCTCCCCGCCGATCCTCCCACGCTTTCCGCCACCGTGAGGCGGCATGTAGTCCAGCCAGCAACACTCCGGCTGGCCTACCATCTCCTTGTAAGCGGAGTTCGCCAGGCGGACGTTGTTCTTCGAGTCCGAAACCACCGCTGGCAACACCTCCGTCTCGACCTCTTCCTCCACCTCCTCCGCCAACAACCTCTTCCTCCCGTCTTCCTCCGCTCCGCCAACAACGATCCGTCCCACGTAAATGCTTGACCCCACCGGCCGAACAGGACGCGGGTTTATAACAGGAATCGGGAAGAACCCGTCCTCATTATCCTCAGCCGCCCGGTTCAAATCTATCCCCCTCTCTTCCCGAGGCTTCGCGGGGGATGAATGCGACAGCGGGGCACTATGTGGAGGAAGAAAAGAAAGAGAAACCGAGCTTGAGAGAGTAGAAACCGGGCCGTCGAGACCACATTTGAGAGAGATAAGATTGGGGAATACCGGGAAGCTGCCGCCCCCGCCGCCCTGGAAAGAAATGAGACGGTGATGGTAATTAGGAGGAGACACACCTTGCATGCCCGACGGTCCCGACCTCACTCTCTTAGGCGGCGGCGGAGGGACGTGGGACCTACCTCTCTTCCTGCTGCGGGTGGGCCTGGCCTGCAATTGGCGCCAAACGTCTCTGAGGAAAGGAGATCTGCTGATACCCGGCGGCAGGGCATTGCTGTTATTAGAGGCGACGTCCGGCGAGGGGCAGACGGAAGTCTCCGGCTTGGGGGCTATGGGTCTGTACCTGGCCATGATTTCGGCCGTCTTTGCGGCGGTGGGATAAGAATTAGTCAAGGTTTGCAGCATTGTTTGTGAGTTTTTCTCCTAGCTAATGAAGCTAGGTAGGTGGTGATGATGAAAACAAGGTAAAGGGAAGTGAATGAAGTGAGGAAGGAAAAGGGCGTATAAGAGGAAGGGGTGAGCCAATGGGAAAGCGGCAGCGTGAATGGCGTAGGATTGACACTTGGAAGCGCGGTTTGGACGGAACGTGTTCGATGATCTTAAGGATTTGGAAGTTGGAAGGCATGCATGCTTACACTTATCATTCACTCTCACTCCGCCCTCTTTTTCCCCATTTTCCTTCCGTTACATTTACTATTATAAGCAAATAATAATAACATATATAAGCTCTTTTTTTAAAAACAATAGTATCTCCTTCACAAATAAAATGAATAATAACGAGCTCTCTGTTGCGTACGTAGTATTTTAAAATCGTATGTGGCACGGAAATTAAACAATAAAAGCAATAAGGATAAATCATCTGTTCTCTTGCAGAGTAATAATCAAAAGGGAATATAATTTATTGCAATTAGATCTGATATTATTGTCCTTATAAGTGAACAATCTTCAAAAGAAGGTTAAAACTCCTTAAATTTGGCTATTATGTGAAGATTGTTTAATTATTTTCTTATAAGGACAGTAAAATTGTATATGATCTAATTGCAACAAATTATAAATCAATTTCAATTGCATTACTCTACATTATTAGTAAGAGAATAGATTTATGAAATAAAATAATTATATTGATTGTGGGTTACTAGGTTCATTGTACGACACGCAATTCTCTTGAATGGCATTTGAATAGCAATTCAAAGTTTGTTACAGTTGAATTAACTATTTCCTTTAAATTTTGACTTTTTCATTCGGTCACACCATTTTGTTGTGGTGTATACGGAGCCGTGATTTCATGAATGATTCCAACATATTAAAAATAATGAGGATTCATATATTCTCCTTCTCGATCAATAGTAATTAATTGGATTACCCGATTGCAATTCAACCTCGACTTTATACACTTTAAATTTCTCTAAAGTTTCATCCTTAGTGTGTACGTAGTAATAAATACACAGAACAAAACCGAGTTGAATCATCAATAAAACTAACAACATACTTCTTATTGTCAAGGGAAGGAGTTGAGTGAAAATCACATACATCACTATGTACAAGATCCAAAATAGTCGAAATCCTTTCAATATTAGGAAACAGTTGTTTTGTGATCTTAGTAAGAGTGCAAGTCATACACATATCATTATTAATATCAAAAGCTGGAGTTAACCCATCTTTAGACATTTCATGTATTTTTCGAAAATTAACGTGAGCTATTCTAGCATGTCAAATCATACAATCATTAATGGAAGATGCCACAAAAATAGAATTATCACTAGAAATTAATGTATTCACAACATTTAAACGAAACATGCGATTTGAAAAATATCCAAAACCAACAAAGACATCACACTTGGAAAGAATATATTTATCGGATTCAATCACTTGTTTGAACCCTAAATTATTCAACATAGTTCCTGAAACAAGATTCTTTCGAATCTTCGGTATATACAAAACATCAAATAACGTGGTTGTTTTTTCAGAAGTAAATTCTAAAACAACTACACCCTTTCCCAAGATTGGCACCATTGACTCATCTCCCATGCGTAAGAAGGAACCGACCTCTACCAGTTCTAGGTCTTCAAACCATCCTTTATCCTTACACACATGGCTCGTAGCCCCCGAGTCAATCCACCATGCACAATCATCATCCTGCTAAAAAGATTCTGGAATGATCTAGGTCCTAAGACCGTTCATGTCCACTCTCACTCGTTCCAGCGCCATTCTTGTTTAGTATCACAAGGCAATCACGCTTGACATGTCCAACCTTTTGACATCTCCAACAAACCAAACCTTTCGATTTCTTGTTGAGTTTGTCATGCTCTTCATACTTGCGTTTTTTGTCTTTCCCCTTCCCCGTTTGGTTAAATTTTTGATCCTCAACCATGTGAATATGAGGCTGTCCAAATTCAACTTCGCCCATAATTTGGTCATTCTCTTGCGCACGAAAGGACTCCTCAATGTGCAAGTGACTCCCAAGTTAAACCCGTGACAATTAATTCCTCATCTTGATGTTTTAAGGAACGTTTAAAGTCCTTCCAAGAGGGTGGAAGTTTTTCAATTATGCTCGACATGGCATAAGATTCATCGATACTTATTGATGGAGTTTAATCCAACTACGAGAGCTAAATCTACAGAAGCAGATGAAAAATATGGCAGCGTAAGGCAGTGTTTTATTGATCAATGTTTCGATCCCCCTTTCGGGGGTTTACAAGTCATATTTATAGGCTAAGGAATTAGTGTTACAAAAGGAAACTGATATAATAAATGCTATTGAATATGCATTAGTTCGAATAGAACTCTTGTAACGTCTTGGCCGTTGTGTGACGTGCACTCGTCGTTAGGTGCACTCAAAATAATTAATCAATACAACACTAATATGTAGTATAGTGTAGTAAGGTTCGTATCCACAGGGAAAGGAATACTTTTCTTTTATATAAATAATAACAAGGGGGGTTTAGATTTGTTTGGTTTAATAACACTAAGATAAACGACCTATATGAGTTTAATTCAATGAGATGGGGACTTGGTTTTGCTTTTATCCACTTAATGAAATGTTCGTCGATCCCGGTTATATCTTTAACTATCTTCCTCTCGAATACTCAATCGAGGAGTATATCCAGTTCATCGAGGGTAGTTATTAATAACGAGATGCGTTCATTAATAAAACTTACTATCTAGTCAATATAGAACAAGCGCCGTATATTAACTTGATAGTAGCAATAAACTTAAGATGAAAACGATTGAGATTGATAACCTCAACACAAGCGGTTTATTGGTTTAATCAATATAATTAATTCCCCTTTGACATATTAACCATGAGATGCATGCATTAATATTCCAAGTTTACTACTGTTGAAAGAACCGGATTAATAACAAGCGTATTAACCGATTGATTCTAGTAATAATTAATATGAGAAACAATACTAGTTGATACTTTAAGTAATGTTTAAGATATTAACATGAAATATGAATAGGAATTAATCAATACTCAAGGAAGAATATTAAAATATATGAATCCTACTATGATTAATATCAAGATGTTAACTAATTGTCATCTTAGCAACACTCCCCAATATAATCATAGAGGAAGAAATAGCTATTACTATAACCAATGTCAAGATGTTAACTAATTGTCATCTTAGTAACACTCCCCAACTTTGATATAGAGATAGTATTTTGAAAGAAAGAATTAATATTCAAGGAAGAAGATTAAAGAAAATAACTCACAACTTACAAATTCATTAAGCTTCAAAGTAGCAAAACCAAGATGGAAGAGTTTAGCTCCTCATTTGGAGACTAAACATGATGAAAAATATAAAGAAAGAGCTATTCTATACTGAGCTTAGATGTACAAGGGATTGGATATCTTTTTGTGAAGGAAAGGAGGTGTATTTATAGGTTTTTGGGATGAGATTCGGGTACTCGATCGGGTATATACATGGTACCCGATCGAGTATGTGTGTAACATCCGATCCGAGGCATACTCGACCGGTTTCAGGCTATTTTCTAAGTGTATACCCGATCGAGTATATATGAATACCCGGTCGAGTATGCTTAGAAAGTGATATTCGGGCTATACTCGACCGATCTTCGTTTGCAATTTAAAGGCATACCCGATCGAGTATATATGAATACCCGGTCGAGTATGCTTAGAAAGTGGTATTCGGGCTATACTCGATCGATCTTCGTTTGCAATTTAAAGGCATACCCGATCGGGTATGTCGGTCTACCCGATCGGGTATAGACATAGAATCGTGGCCAAAATCTTCCCTGCATGTTCCTTTGTCTTCGGATCTGATCCGATTTGAAGTTCCAACCTAATACCCGATCGAGTATAGCTAATACTCGACCGAGTATAGGCCAAAATTCAGGATCTTCTTTTGTCTTTGAACTTTTGCACCTTCTCTTCACTTTTTGGGTTCACCAACTGTACTTTGGGTGACCAAAACCTGCTTAAGCTCAGAATATGTCTAATCTAACCTATTTACAAGAATTTAACAATCTAATCTATTACACCAAAAGTGTGTAATTTCCAAAGTAAAAGTCAAGCAAAACTAATTAAAAACATAAACATAGAAATGGAAATTACGAACGTATCAACTCCCCCACACTTAAACCTTTACTCGTCTCGAGTAAGATCAAATGTTTACAAGTGTCAATTTTTGTCCAAAAGTTCCACAGTTCAACAAAAATATAATACAAACACAAAGACCACCAAGGATTACAAAGAAAAATGAGTTTTAAACTCAAATCACAAAAGAGCATCTTGGGTTTAATGGCCTCCTAGTGTTGTCTTCTTTTCTCCTCCTCTCTTCTTCTTTATCTTGAATCTTCATATTCTTCATAAGGATACAATGAGTGCCTGCAAGAACAAACATTTCTCTCATATCTCTCATTTTGCCTAGGAGCCTTTTCAGGTTTTCATCCTAGCACCTCTTTTCATTTTCCATTCTCTCCAACTCACTCATTTTTTTTTTATAAGCCTTTTTTGCTTAGATTGCCCATTTTGTTGGGTTTTCAACCTAACTAGCGTTTATTTTCTTTTGTTTATTTTTTTTTTAATTTTTTTTTTTGAGTGTAAAACATTGTAAGAATTACATGCATAGTGCTAGGTACAAATGAGAATTACATACCATCATGAGTGTCTCCCCCGCACTTGAATCACGCACTGTCTCTAGTGCCCGCCTTCTCCTCCGTAGTAGCTCCCTCCAAAGCCGCTCCCTTGGCCACCATCTCCCATGTAAGTGTCCCCGCCATCTCCGCCGTCGTACCCTCCACCACCGGAGCCAGATCCTCCAAAGTTACCCCAATGAGTGGGGTCATACCATGAGGGTGGTGGAGGAGGGTTCGCCATGGTGTGGAAGGATCCCTGTTGTGCCATAAACGAGTACATAGGCCCGTAGAACCTATGTTGGTCTTCCTCATACCGGTGTCTATCGGCCTCCCGGAGCTCCTCCAAACGTTGAAAGCCGGCCCT